AGCCTCGTTGACTAAGAGGTCACGGGTTCGAAACTCAGCGCCACCCAGTTTTAAAAAAATTAAGATTTCACGTGCAAGGCTTGAAAAAGACTACGCCTGCACGTGTCAAGGAACCAACTCAACCACAAGCTCGAGCTTGTGGTTGTGGCCCAGGAACAGTTATTTATATTCTAACACGCCCCCTCACGTGCAGGCGTAGTCTTTTTCGAGCCTTGCACGTGAAACCTTAATATTTTTTAAATCGGGTGGCGCTGAGTTTCGAACCCGTGACCTCTTAATCAACGAGGCTCTGATACCATGTCAAGGAACCAACTCAACCACAAGCTCGAGCTTGTGGTTGTGGCCCAGGAACAATTATTTATATTCTAACACAGACGATTTAAAAAAGATGGAGGGAATAATTCACAATAATTTAACCACTAAATATTAGGCAATAAAAAATGAAGTGGAGAACTAATTTCGCTGGAAGAGAATTAGAATTAATACAAATATATTTCAAGTAGTCCGGTAAGAGTTTCAAACCATTCTCACCTGTCCGGTAACATTTTTCACCAACAGAAATACTCTGTGTCTCAACAACAACAAAGGGTGAAACAAAAAGACCCAAATATTACCCCTTATGACTACAAAAGTCTCCACTTCAAAATGATGTTTAACTTTCTTTCTTCCCACAAAGGAGAAGAGACTGAAAATATATATATAATAAGCATTAAAGAAAGTGGATGTGTATTTTATAACCATATACCTCACAATATTGTGCCCTTTACACCTCAGAAGCATCTGGCGAGTTTTCGGGCGTCTTTAGAGTAGAAGCAGGACGACCCTTATGCTCCATCACTGCAGCCCTAAACTCCTCAAGAACCGATGCGTCCTTGAATTTTAGGGCATAGGTGACGAGTTTGTCTTTTGTCTCACTTGCACTGTTGATGCAGGCGAAGGTGATGCCCTTTTTGTCCATGTTTGTCAGCTTCATCTCCGGGAAGAGATTGGCATTCAGAATCAAACGGCAGTTCCCTCTTGATCTCATGACGAGCCTGGCTTTTCTTGATTCGTCTGTGGAGACGTTTACCTTGACCTCGCCCTTCCCGCGCTCTCTCCACCCTCCGATGAATTCAAAAAGGGCGGAATCGGCCGCGAAGACGGCGTCCTCATTCTCCTCCCCTGTTTCAACGCTTCTTTCTTGCATTGGTGGGAAACCGGACCCGCCAAAAAGGGAATTGTTTCTATTATTATTGGAAGGGGCGCCAACTCCAAAGGAGGGTTGGTCGAGTTTCGCCTCTTTTGGAATACTTCCGAATGAGAAAGTTGACCCGGAAAATCCTGTTCCAGCAAATCCGGTGAAGGCATTTGGAGTACTAGAAAGCTGTTGGAATGAACTAAATGGGACTCCGGCATTGCCCTTTTCGTCCTCATTCTCTGTTTTCTCACCTTCTGTATCTATCTGACTTTCATTCTTTCCCTCACTCTTCTCGTCTGATTCCAGTTTCTCGGATACAATCTCAGCGCTGTTTTTGTGAACAGTAGAATCCACTCTATCGGGATCCTTGGTTTGATTTTCTGATTGTGTTTTTTCCCCCTCGGCTTCCTTGTCTAAATCAGATTTTACAACCCCGACTTCCTTGTTTACCTCGCCTTTTACCTCCTCGGATTCCTTGTTCACCTTGTCTTTTGCGACATCAATTACCTTATCCACCTCAACTTTCTCTGTTTCAGCATCCTTGCTAGCATCATCTTTTACCGCCTCAAATTCCTTGTTCCCATTGAGTCCACTTGCTACTGTGGAAACACTAGGGAAAGAACATTGAGAGAAGAAAATGAGAAGCAAAGAAAAATTGAAGCATTATATAGAGTATAATACACACATCCACACACAGGGAGGGTATAATGGTTTTAAAAATTAATCATGTTTCATTTTGCTTTCCATTTCCAAAAGTAAATCTAGATGCAAGAAAACCTTCTCTTAGCAGTCCCATTTCACTAGTAATTAACGGGATTTGAGCTTACCCATCCCCTTTCACCTCCACGGAATCCACGCTCGCATCATGTTTTTCTTCTACCTTGTCTAATTTCACACCTTCTGTTTTATCTGTGGATACTAAAGGAGTAGTAGGAGGAACCAAACGTATCCCAGCAAATGGATTTGTAGAAGGAGCAGGAGCTGATGATGTTGCATGCCGTCTCACTTTCACAATCCTTCTATTTGCCATGACCTCATCACTCGCCTTCTTAAAGGTTCCAGCCTCTTGCACAGTCGTCTCATCATCATCATCAAGGCCGGGGTTATCCCGTGATAGTTCCCTTCCGGCAGCCCTCTTTTTTGATGGTGGAAGAACATTTTCAGCATTCTCCATCTGAATGTTTTGAATTGTAAATAAAGATGGCAATTAAAAGTTAAATGCATGCCACCAGTTCATCAGAATGGTATTAAAA